ACAACTCACCACTAGGTTCCAAATTGAAGTTAATAAGGACATGACTTTAGAGTGAGTAACCAGATTTATTCTTGGAGTAAACAGGGTGAGAGGGAAAGAGTCCTTACAATTGATACATACTTTAGAGTATGCATTTTTCCAAATCTGGCATTTTATTACTTCATTGACAGCAACACAGATTAGTCTTACTTCTGTAATGGGATTTACTTTGTTAAAATGAAATGTAAATAGTGAGAAAAATGACAAGTAAAAATACCAACTAACAACAGGATCAATAAGAGAAGAGAAAAAAATTTAAAACCCACAAAAAAGAGAATGTTTCACGCACACAGCCTTAAGTGGGAAACACAATTGGCAACCCCTAACACACTAGCCCTCTCTGAGAATACAGAGGGCCCTTACTAAGGCTTTCGTTATTTTTATTGCTCATTCGCACTGCCAACAGCAAATAGGTAGGAGAAATGAAGCAGAAATGATTCGGATGTCCACAGGCATAAATTCAATTATTTATTGAACTTTTGTTCTCTGAACTTTCAAGTAACCGGATAGACCAGGATGCAAAATGTCACTCTTGTATGTGGAAGAGGCTTTTTGAAACAGCCATATATGGGCTTTGTCTTTCAATCGGAAAGGACCCAAATTAAATTTCAGTTCTATAAAGGATTATCCTTCATTGGCTGACTTTTATCCTCTAAGGTTAAGCTTCCTTATCACTATGACACAGAAGAACTCCCACCACCTTAGAGGGGTACCACAAGAGTTAAAAGGCATCAGGTATATATAGAGAATGCTTACCAAATTGTCTGCCAGGTAATTAAAAAATATTCTTTCTTCTTTCTCCTACTGTCCAGGAGGTCTACAACTTTATAGGGAATTAAATGATTTGTTAAATAAAAGGCTATAACTATAAGAGACTGTATTTAAGAAATTGAGGAAAAACGTTTATACATTCAAAATTCTTCAGGAATTAAGAAAACAAAACAAAAACTTTCCAAAGCTATGATGTCTATAAAAAGCTTCCTGGAAGTGAGATAGCCTTGGGTCATTTATTTTTCTTCTTTCAGACAATTGCATTCACACTGTAGCCCAAATGGCCTGGAACGTGCTATGTGCCCCAGACTGGCCTCACATTTCTGACAATATTCCCATCTCAGCCTCTTGAGTGCTAGGGTTACAGATGTGTGCTACCATGCTGGAAAGGCCTTGGGTCTTTAAGGCTGAGGAAAAGTTAAACAGAGATGGCAAGTAGGCAAAGACAACCTGGCAGTCATAAGAAAACAAGATCTAATCAGAGGAATGACCATTTGACACTATTGCATAGGAGAGTATGTGGGGAGGACAGACAGATTAATGTGTCAATGCCAGAATGAAGACTTTTGCTATAGCTCTACACTGACTTAGTTAAACTCTCACAGCACTCACAAGGGTGCACAAAGTTCATGTCATAGTCTCAAGTGGTATATCAAATAGGATAGGCTACTAAAGTCTAAGGCCAAAAAATTAGCACAATCAGCTTAATTTACATCCAGAATAATATCGCAAAAGGCATCCATAATAAAAAGCAGTTCCAGAAAAACAAAATGAATGAGTGTTACTTAAAATACTTGTTAGAAAGCATAAAGGAAGGAACCTGTACTGGTACAACATTGAATATAGCTCTGTGGCAGGAGGGGCGGCCTAGAACAGAGAAGAATGTGTTTAGATTAGCCATGGAGGAAAGTTCTGAATGTGGAAGATGAGAAGACAGCCCAGCAAGAGACTGCAGCAGCACCATTAATGCAAAATATTCAAAGATTTTCAAAGCACAGTGGCAGCAAGATGGATTTCTTCAGATACAATGTTTTCGCCTGGGTGACCCACAGACCACACGTTAGCCCTACAATTTATGACTTTTGGATTAAAGCTGGGAAAGGGGGGTGTCCTTCCAGACACAGAGAGCCCTTAATGATAGCACAGCTACAAACCTGCACAGTGATCAAGAGTTACTGAACTAAGAAAAACCTCAGTAAGTACTCCCTCAATTATTTCGGCCTTTGGACATTTCCATGAGAAACTACTCATTGATATTATTCTTTTTCCAACTTTCATTTTATAGAATATCAAGATAGAGTCAAATGTTGACTTACTATGGTAAATAGAGGGAAAAAGCCTGCTTTGATTTCCTCTTCTTTATTACCACCTTGGTTTTGTGTTTTAGAATGTCGGCTAGGTTTTGAAAAGAGGGTGGAGGATGGGGGGGGCATGCTCGTCCCTTCAATGGAGACAAAAGATAGCAGCTATTTCATTCTGCTGTGTGAGTATGTTACCTCCCTTAATTCTCTCGCCATCACATTAAACTGTGATTTTCAATAGAGGCCTGAAAAATGTATTACATTTTACCTGTTATTCTAAAAGAATCAGTAAGCAATTATAGGGAAAGGATAAAAGTAGGGCAAAAATGTTTTTGTTTTTTTTCAGACCAGCTTAAATTCAGTTTAAAATGACTAGAAAGGCGAACTGTTAGGTATTCAGAAGGAAAATGTGAATGTTTTCCCAAAGGCATTATTAACAATTAATAATCATTACACTGGTGCCTTGTTTACCTGACCTTGTGTAAATTCAGCAGCCTGGTAATTAGACCCATATTTTGCACATTTGTATATTTCCATGCATAGATTTGACTCATTCATTCATCCATTAAAATTTGCTTGACAGACGTAGATGAATAATCAAGCTACAATTTGTATTTACTGGATTACAGAAAATTGCCCAAACTGTTAAGTTCAAGGAAAGCGCATTCTTGTCTCTCTCGTGACTGATGTAAAAGCAATTACACATCAGAGGATTGCCCCAAAGCTCTCAGAAGAAGTGGCACTGCTTTTGCAATCTGGGGTCTTTAACGGAATTTTTTTCCCTGAATGTAGAGACTGTTGAAAGATGAACTCTAACAGAGGGAAAGAAATATTCCTATGCGTGTAAGTTTATCATTTAACTCACTGTACTGCCATTTCATAGTAAAAAGTCATGTTCTGATCAACCATCAAAATTCAAAATAAACAATTCAACTTTGTCCTGAAAGGACATTGCAAAGGCAGTGGAAAGTTTGAAGAGGAGAAAAATGGCAACATTTGGATAGGTTCATGATACTCCTCCCCCGCTGCCCCTAAAAAAGACAGGGCAACAAGACCTGACTGGCCCTCTCTTGACTGATGAAAACAAAGGCATTATATGATTTTATAATTCATATATTTTCATGTAAAGGAGAACTTGTTTCGGTGGTTACTATTCTCATTGTTCAGTGATAGCCAAACATGCTGTCATATGAAACTGTATTTTACTATACTGCATTTATTTTGCTTTTGCAGCCACTAGCCAAACCATAGCAACTATATGTTTTCTGGTCCAAGGTACAGTACTTCTTTTACTCAGCAGAAGATACAACAATTTTGCTGTCTTCAATCCTTCTCTCCAACCTGCTTATTTTGATTGTCTACTTTAGAAGAAAAGTAGTGATTCCTGACTTTTAAAAAAAGTGTGTATAACCAGTATTATCAGTTTTTTTCACATACAGCCAGTAGTATTAGATAGTTTTAAAGCTCTTAGCTCATAGTTCACATTTTATAAAAACATACACAAAGGTATAAATATTTTATATAGTCTTTACTAGGACAATGTGGCTCCAGTTTGAAAAAGAAAGGATTGTTTAGAATCATCTCACAAGCACTATATTTATGCAATTCAAAATTTGGCTTGAAGCAAATTCATCTTCAGATAGGCAACGATTAGATAGCATAGGTGTCTTACAGCAAAGCTCAAGAACCAGGAAGGTTCCTCAGACTTCCAAAGCATGCACCTAATTCATTTGAACGTTACCAAATTCTTTTTTTCTTTTTGCAAATACCCAATCTTTTCTTGCTGTAAAATGAATGTCAAGTAGGGATGGATACCAGATCATCACAGAATGAGGATGACTTAAAATCATCTGGAAGACTACTAAAGAACCAGATAAAGAACTGACTTAGAAAATGACTTGCTCTTACAGTCTATGTGCTTAAAAAATACAGAAAACAGAAATTTAGATGCTTCTAGTGAATGTGACTTCATATAAAACCGAGTGTCTGTTGAGTCTGTGGCACTTCAACAGGCATTTCAGGGACTTTATGTAAAGAAGGCATGGACCTGACAGTTTACTATGATAAAACAACTTTGATCTTAAAACCAAATACAAAAGCTATGTTCCTGACTCTTGACGTCAATAGAAACACAGGGGGCAGAGGTGGTGGTGGGAGGGTGTTATCAGATTTTGAAAGAGGAGGGACAGCTGGCCAAGGAGGCAGAAGTTACTCAGACAAAGCTTTCCCTAGTGTGTGACTTTGATGATTTCTCATCTATTTGCTAGTTTTTTGCAAGGTTTCGGGTGCTATAAATTACACTTTACCTGATAAAAGGACAGTAGCAAAAATGTACAACTGTTCTACCAATTACAGTAATGGTCATACTAAAAAAAAAGTCATCTAAACTCATGTCCCTTCCCTTGCTCTAGCATTTCAGTAGTTGTTTCTAATGCCAACTACAGCATAGAAATGAGACTATGCATTGCTACTGCTCAAGCATATTCAATACTGTATCACATTCCTAAGTTATATTTTCCAAATAGGAAAGCAGCCATTTTAAAAGTGTACAGTAGAGACAGATTCCCTGAAACCAAAGCTGCACAATTTTTATAGTAAGTCCTTGGTTGTTAAACTATATCTACTACCAGTCCAGTAGGTGTACCATAATCACCACCTATGTATAAAAGCAGGGGAGGGGTTCTAACTGCTAAGAAGACTGGTACAATAAACTTTACTAAGGCCTCTTCTATAAGTCTGGATTTCACATTCTATTATCAGCCACTTTCCTACTTACATAGATTTTCTCTAATAGATCATGAACATCACTGAACATATGATCAATAAATACAACTCTGACAAGAGGCAAAAGCCAATCAGACTTCATCTTTTTATAAGAATGTACTTTGGATCCTTTTTTGGTTCATAAGCATGATGATTGGGTGTTCACACACCTGCATGACATGTGCTACCCTCAAACCTTGTTACCCATGGGCACATTGCCCGTCTGACATGAAAAAGGAAAAGAATGCACTTTAGGAATGTTGAGGCTAGGGAAAGAACACACCAAAACAGACAAATATGCACATATATAACATGGTGCTAAGGCATTCTCAAAGCTAACTGGCTATTTAGTCATAATAGTAACAAGAAAAAGACATGCCTGCCAAATAAGAGAAACTACACCAAAAGGAGTTTGAAAAACCTTTACTATTAAGAAGCCAGTTTCCTGGTTATTGTCCAGGGCATAGAAAGAATGATACTAAATAAAAGGGACAGATCAATGTTTAGTTCAAGGAACAATCAAGGCATGCAAATTAAAAACTGTAGGGGAAAATATGCACTGTGTATGTGTATAAAGGAGGAGCAAGTTTAACTTACTAGAGAGACTCTTAAAGTAACTGATGTTGAGATATCTAGACAGATTAAAGATGACATTGTAGGAAATTTTGTCTAGTGGCTGTAGAGTCATTAAGAATTTTATCTCCCATCAAGCATAAATACTGAACCTATAGCTTCTCTGAAGGTTCCCCAAATCACTCTCTTGCTGGAGTATGTAAGTCCTGTATCTACTATGTCCTTGGTACTACACTTTTCACAGGTAACATGAACCCAAACACGATACTACATGGTGTAGTTCAGCCTGTGAGGAACAGATGACAATGACCTGGTATAGGAGCCATCATAGACATGCGTGCAATGGCTTCTGCAGATCTAAAGAAGACAATAACACATTCTGCCTGGAAAGGTTACTGAGGAAAGCTTCCAGAAATAAGTCACCGAAGGTGGAAAGAATTTTACCAAGTGGGCTGTCGTGGTGGTATGGAGGGCATTTTTAGGCAGAGAAAACATAAAGCTATAGCTTTATGGAATAACAAGCTCTCTGTTATAGAGATGATGAAGATGGCTCAGGACCTAATCTGATGCTGTAGAATTTGAATTTGAATCTCTAAAAAAATGAGCTAACTTCAGGGCAAATTATTAAAGCTGGAAATGGTACGGTTGGACTGATATGAGAACATACCAAGTGAAGGACATGAACTGGAAGATTAAGGATAAGATGGCCAGGAACTGAATTAAAGCACTGGAAATTGAGGAAAAGGAACAGAATGACATCCACATGTAGGCTTCTGTTATCCAAAGCTGAGAAGTCCTAGAGGGTATTGTTCTGTATAACTTAAAAGAATCTTCTGAGGAATACATTAGGAAGAATATGAAAACGCTCTGGAAAACAGCACTTTCATATGTACTGTGTAACATACAATGTATATTAACATGGTGGAATCCCATTTTTCTCTCACTTAAAGGTGCATGAAATACCTTTGGTATATAAGAACAGAAAACAACAACAGTGTTTAAGCAGGAGGATTCACACAGCTTACTATAGTCCTACCAGCCCCTACAGATGGGATTACAAGATTTTCAAAGTTTGGTCAGGCCTGGTGACACATGCCCTTAATTCCAGCTCTCAGAAGGCAAAAGCAGGCAGATCACTGTAAGTTGGAAGCCTGTCTGGTCTACATAGCGTCCTCTAGGCCAGCCAGGGCTGCATAGTGACACCCTGTCTCAAAAAAAAAAAAAAAGTAAGTTCTGGTAGGAACCCTGAAGAAGGTTCATTTCAAAAGATGGACAGGGTACTACTCCAGGGCTCACATCTACTTTGCTTAGTCAGAACTGGCCCACTTTGTCTCCATCCACCTGCCGTGAGCCAAGGCCCTTCCTGTTCCTGCTGTCAGAGATCTCCTGACTAGCTTGACCTGGTCACCATCCCAGGGAGCTCAGTCAGCTGTGGACAGTAGTTAATCAACTGTAAAACAGGCTCAGAGATGTTCCTCCTGCTGGAAGAGCATGAGCCTGAGGTCCATCACTGTTTCCTGCTGAAGCTGTTGGTGGATGATGACACAAGGCAAGTTGCTGGGTTAGAATAGGATAGGAGCATTTCAGCCAGGGTCATCAGGAGGGTGAGTCTGTAACTCAGAAGAGCGGAAAGGCTTAGAACAACAGTAATGAGCGATGAAGAAACTTGCAGAGTGTTTGAGAAATTTTCTGTTTTTATCTTTACAGCAAGAGGAAGACATCGATGTGTTTAAAATGATAGGATTCTATTTGAAATATGACTCTAAAACAATCTGTAGATTAACAAAAAGTTACTGGTATGTATTTCCTTAATAACGAAGTCTAGAATATAAGCTAAATTCAGACTGGAGAATATTATATAATGCTTAATCAATAAATATTACCACCTTTCTGGGGAGGAAAAAAGATGGACAGCCCTGTGTTTTTCCCTCAAGCTCTTGAATATTGAGAACACTGGGAAATGCAAAATGTACTCTATAAATTACCCCATTTTAACTTTGGGGCCCTGCTTACAGAGTGCTTGACCTGAGTAAACTAGGCACTTCCTAGAGATGGGAGACTGAAGGTAGATTTAAAAACAAACACAAACAAACAAACAAAAAACCACTGGTGAGTCATACAGAGACAAAGCTAGGAGGGCGCTGACAGGATTACAGATCTTAGAACCACTTTAAAAAAGGTAAAAAGACATTCACTCCTCAGCATATGCAAAATCTGATCATGATGACATCATTATATGGGAGTTCTAGAAGAAATAAAGAGAACATGACATCTCTGTATACAAATATTCTCACTTAGATTTATAAATCATATCCACAACACAGAAGAGACAAGATTGAGCAATGTTAATTATCTGCCATTTGTCAAGTGTTGGCAGTACACCAGGAGATGTAACAAGGACATTAAATTTCCAGTAAAAATGTAGACCTACTAAGAAGATGCAATGGAATTTTGCTTTCATAAAATTAATTTTGGACACAAAAGAGCTCATTTTAGAAATTTAAGTCTCTTATAAAAGTATATCGTCAACTTATATTTTCTTTGCATATTCTCATATATGACCCATAGAACCCAAATTTTTAAAATACTCAAAGGCTATGCACATTATACTAAAATTCATCAACATGTTCTTTGAAGGGTTCAGTAACCACATGGGAGAACTTCAAAAGATATTCAGGCTCAATAAATTCTAATAAAGTCCCAGAGAAGGCTAAGTCATCAAGTACTCTAAAAACAAAAGAAAACCAAAAACCTCCCCAGGTGATTCTAACATGCAGCCGTGATCAAGACCTATCATCTTTGCCTGGTAAACCGATAAGAAAACATACAATACAGAAGAAATGCTATAGTGAAGATCCTAAATGTTGTGTTCTTAAAATATTCCATTCTGTCATAATATATTCCTTTGGGCTTCCACATAAAATTTTAGAAAATTAAAATGGCTGGGGCAGTATCAAGATTTCTAGGATGCAAACACCTAATCCCCAAATAGGACTCAAGTCTCTGTTATCCTCTCCCATTAGTAAAGAAACTTTAAAATTCCCTGTTTTCTGCTTTCTTTTTATGGCAAATTTATTATTTTGATAAAAATGACACATGCCCGTTGTGAAGTATTCAGGCAAAAGCAAAATGAAAATAAAAAATCACTTATAACTCCTACTGCTCAAGATATAATTTTTAGCATTGCTAAATATTCTTTTAGAAATTTCTCAAGGCATATACAGACATAAAGTTATATAAATATATGACATTTTACAAAAGTGACTTTACATATATATGCTACTATTTTTTAAAGTTTGCAGTATTAAGCAGACAAAAATATTTGGAGCAGAACAGATTTATGAAAAAATTTGAGGGCTGCATTTACACAGTTTTTTGTTGTTGTTTGTAACATTTCATGGGTCCTCAGTACTCTTGTGAAAATCAAATGATTTATGTATAACTTTCGTTTGGGGGAAGAAAACAATTTACTGAGCATACCAAGGAGGAGTGGGCTGGGAAGTAAGTAACAAGAGTACTGCCCACAGTCTATGTATAATTTTGCAAATTATAGAAATACCAGAACAGATATGTAATTTTGTTTCTATAAACTAGAAAATACAAGTGGACACTCCATTGAAAAGATAGTAAGCTCCTACCTAAATGATTCCTTAGGTATCAAACTAGAAAAACAAATACAGGACTTCCAGACTGAAAAGGATGAAATGTTCACTGAAGAGAGCAAAGAAGGCTGAAGTATGCACACAAAGAGCCAGCGGTCACAGACTTGAAGCTTCAGCAACAATGATGTCAGGTAGGGCCTTTAATCACAGCATTTTGCAGGCAGAGGTAGGTGTATTTCTTTGAGTTCCAGACCAGCTTCGGTTACACAGTGAGAAACTAATGATTCAAATTCTTTTCCAAATGATATGAACATAATATAATTCCAATAAAAAGCCTGCCAAATAGTATTTTGTTAAGACAAGCTGACTGTAAAATTCATATGGAAACAAAGAACTAGATGGCTAAAGCAGTTTTGAAAATAATGGAGGAATCACACTACACAAGACTTACTGTAAAGCTATAGTAATCAAGACTGTGGTATTAGAAATGATAAACACAGGGATCAATAGAAAAGAAGCACATAGAAATAGCCCTATATGAGTATGCAAAAATGGATTTTTACAAAGATGCAAAACGAATTAAATGGAGGATGGACAATCTTTCCAATAAGAAGTGTTGGTACAAATGGATATATACGGACCAAAGGTGTGAAGGGGTAGGGCAATGAAACTTGTCCTAAGCCTCATACCTTATACAAAAACTAACTCAAGACAGACTGTATCTAGATAGAAAATCTGAATTCTTCGATTTGAGACCAAAACACTGATTTAATGGACTGTTTGGCTTTGTGAAAGACACAATTAAGAGACCAAAGCAACAGGCCAATAAGATGGCTCAGCAGGTAAAGGCACTTACTGCCCAACATGCAAGCCTGATAACTTGAATTCAATTCCCAGAACCCACATAAAGGTGGAAAGAGAGAACCTATTTAACAAACTTGCTCTCTGAGCTCCACACATGCACTATGGCATACACACCCCAAAAATACACAATAATGATTTTTTAAAAAAATATTTTAAAGAGATCAAGGCAAGCTACAGACTTGGAGAAAAT